TCGCTGGTAAAAGCCGCGTGACAGATATTTGTTAGTGGCCAAATATCTGCCAACTGAATATTTGAAGAATATTGGGATGTGTGGACGTGTGCCGCGTCCCATGCCTCAGGACGCAGGGGGGGAAATACTCAAATATCTCGCAAATATTTGGTGGTGTACATAGCGCTATGTAGCGCTGAGACTAAATATTTGGCAAATATTTGGGAGGGGGGGTACCCTCCTCCCCTCGCTCATACATACATCCCAAATATTTGGGGTTCACCTCGAATATCTGGGAGGGGCATCCCTCCAACCGTCTCAAATATTTGGAAGGGCCACTATAACATTTGGGCCAAATAATTCGCGTTTTACTATAACTATAAGGATCAAAAAATTTATCTAGTGTGTACTGGTGAGTGTCTCTCTAAAAGCATTGCGGGCGTGGTCGAGTGTGGACGGTTCACTGGACTCGTCGTCCCCGAGCAACCGCATATGCTCGTCGAAATCACTGCCATGACCGTTGGCGGCAGCAGCCATGCGTCTCCAACGAGCATCTCGTGAGCTCAGCCGAACAGCAGTAGGGTCCGCTCCGAGCATCTCAGGGACGTAGCGGTGAGCGAGGGAGATATGCCACAGGATGTCGCAGAATAACTGCCAATTCGTGAAATAGTCGACGGCTGAGGACATCACGACCCTGGAGCGATCCCAGCGAAGTACGCGAAACGTGCGGCCCGTGACGGCGATCATGACGAGGAAGAAACGCTGCTGGACGTCGAAGAGGACTGCGGCATACCTCAAGTACTTGCTGAGCATCTCCTTCCGCTTCTCCACGTCGTCCTCCATGTGCCTATTCCTATCGCAACAGAACTCGTCGTCGACACCGCACTGCCTGAACACGATCGGGACTTCTTGCGCGGTCCATGGAGCCCGGCTGCTTGACAATTCAACATCGTGGTCGAATAGAGCAGCATCGAGCGTGTCACCATCTCCGTCGATGACACAGAAGTCAGGGCGTGCGGAACAGCATGCAGCAATACATCCCGGCGCGAGCCGATGCTGGTCGATTGCCTCTAACTACGTCGACCGTTAGATGCTTCGTCACCATTAAGACAACAGTATTAGCACCCACTAAAGCCATACAGACTTCGAGGTTGGTCATCTCACTCGCACCTTGCAGCTCGCCGAAGGGGTTTGTAGTCAGCTCGTGTCGTGGAATATGGGAAAACCGAGAACCGTCAGGGATCGCGAGGACAATGTCACGAAACTCTTCAGCTGAGAGCAGCACCAATTGATTGCCCATGATATTAGCGCGCTGCCACGGAGGCCTCAAGGCAGCCAAGATATGGGGATTCGAAGATGCCTCCTGGCGCAAGGATCTGACAGAGTGACCGGGGAAAAGGACTACGAAAATAAGAACGGTGTTTCCGAGGCCAGCCTAGGTGTGCACTGAGGGAATAGCAGTGTCAAAGTCAGAGATCCTGAAAGGAGAGCAGTAGCTTTGGGCGTAGGGGCGACCATGTACAGACATCAAAGACCTGCGGTGGCAGTAGGGACTCGAGATGGAGTACAGACACCGCACCGACGAGTCGTACAAGCCGGCGCCTGACCGTCGTGAGAGGATGTCGGCTTCGTTCCGTTAAGAGCATCTCGGTTCCATGCATTGGTGCTACGTTGATGTGAGACTACTAACAGTTGTGTCACGTCCGACAGCACAAAATTGACCTCGGTGGGCGAAGTACGTGAATCAGTTGTGACGAGCGCACACGAAATTGCGCACTAATAATTAGAATTGAAGGGAAGAAGATGCTATATGATGGAACCGATAACCGAGATTGAACAGTAGAATATCAAAGTAAATCGCATAGGCAGCAGTATAACACTGCGATGCGATGTATAGAAACAGACATGGAGAGTAAGATGTATGGAGATACCGAGTAGTCAATGAACGATGCGCACTCCTATTGCAACGCCTTAGCCGCAAGACACAACAAGATACCTACAACACTCTTAGTCATGTCTCGTATTCCAATTAGTCACAGGAGCACGGGACAGGGAGGGTATATCGGAGCATAGCATAGAGTACGCTCGGTGGGACAAGACAACAACTTCTGCACATCATGCGACATCGGGCGGCGGCGGTCCAACCTTGCGCCTCTTGTTGCTTGCGACCGACGTCTTCGTGACGGCCAGTATAGCCTGCTCTTGGGATGCCCACCAGTCCGGGATGTTGTCCTCGACCCGTGCGCCGTGCCACCCATCGGAAACGTATGCCTTCAGAAAAGCGCGCACCACGTGTTCGTGGGTGGAGACTTGCTCAGCTAGATCTCGAGTCTGGGGAGAAACCTCCAGCTCCTCGTTATCATCGGAAAATCCATCTGACTCGGAATCGTCCGCGTCGCTGTCCATGAGATCCATCTCGTCTAGCAGGGGCCCATTGTCGTTGGAAGGAGCTGGTGTCTCGGATTCCAGAGGTGAGATAGCAGGCGTGGCCTTGACTTCCTTTGCGAGTACAGCGTAGCGCGCCTTGAACCCCGACAACAGCTGAGAGAACAAGATGTCCAGAGGACTGTCAAACTGCAGCTTCTTGTTGAAGCTGACGGTCAGTCGGCCTTCGGTGACCGTCTCGCGTTTCTTGTCCCCACAGACGTACACCTCATCGTCGACACCGTGGAGGTCGAAGTAGGTGTAGAGGTAGTTTGCGATCGTGGGACGGTCGCAGTTCTGTACCTTCAGATACCGGACGGCAGCGTACAACAGCACGTGGAAG